CCATCTTCCGTGATCACTTCGCGACACACTCTCGAACTCTAGCTCCGTCTCGAACTCTAGCTCCGTCTCGAACTCTAGCTCCGTCTCCACGCGGTCGCCAGAATGCCACCCGCAAAGAAGCTCACACAGGCTCAAAAGGAGATCCTGGCGCTCTATCGGAGAGGCCTCCGCATGATCAAGACTAAAGAGCAGGTAGGTAGCTCGGCCAGCTTTCGGACTCGACCCGGCATGTCAACTGACGATTATCGTTGCATTCGCGCGCACATCCTTACATCACAGGAGCATCGCAGAGACTTCACCATCTACTTGCGCTACTTCTTCAAACATCCCTCGTGGGGAGGCGGCCTTCGCAGGAGAGACTTTGCACAGATCGAATACATGCAGCGCAAGACGGCGAGGTTGTTAGAAACCACCTTTGAGCCCAAGTCGGTCAAACACATCAACCTTCCCAAGGACATCGAGCAAGACATGCACCAGCTCGGTCTCGCTCATTGGAGGCGCAGCTTCCGCGACGCCGCCTCCGCTTCAGCCGATTCCAACCCTTCTCCTGCCGCCACAATACCCGGATCCACATGAACCTGGATCGCCGTCTCGCACGAAATTCAATGCAGTCACAATCAAGCTGGCAGTCAAGTCATGTGTTTTGGATGACAGCCGCATTCCATAGCAGAGTGCGTTGCCATCTATAGACAGAATGCGTGAGAACAAGGTACAATCACAGAATCGACGCGCCTGGAGGAGAAGCGAGAAGACCGCCATCAGGCGAGCACCTCCTCGGTCTCCTCGATGATCTCCTCCATCCACTCTTGCACCTCCTCGGTCGCCTCTTCGGCCAGCTTCTTGGCGTGGTCGACACTCTGCCCGACCGCCTCGCGTCCGAGATCCTCGCGCAGCTGCTCGAGATCGCGACGCGAGCGCGCACGCCACGCCTTCCACTCCTCGAGGATGCGCTGGTACAGCTCGCGCTCCGCCGAAGCGAGGTTCGACTCCTCGGCCGCGTCCTCCTCGTCGAACTGCTTCGAGTACTCGCGCAGGTTCTTGCGCACCTTCTTCTGGTCCTCCTTGGACAGCAAGGTGCGCGGGCGCGGACGCCAGAGGATCTGCTTGAATCGGTCTTGGATGTGCTTCTGCAGCTCCTGGCCCTTGAAGTCCCAGATGGCGAAGCCGTTCTCGAGCGAGTGGCGCCACACGGAGGCCGAGGTGGCGACGTAGCGTCCTGAGGGATCCCACTCGAGGTCGGTGATGCCGTAGTGCTCACCGGTGCCGATCAGCTTGACGTCATCCGCAGGGTCGGCCGAAGGGTTGCCCTGTCGCACCTCGTGCATGAAGTCGACGTCGTACCACTCGAGGTCGAACTTTTGCGAGCTGCCGAGCGTGGCGGCGACAATGTGGCGACCGCGCGGCGACCAGAAGAGCGTGTTGAGCGTCTTGTTGTCGAGCACCTTGAGCGGGCGGAAGTCGCCCTTGGGGTGAAGGTGGTAGAAGTTGAGCTGGGTCTTGATGGTGATACCGGGCGCCGGCGTGCCGAGCTGCGGATCGTTGCTCGAGATGAGCGCAAAGTGGGTTCCGAAAGGCTCCCAGGCGAAGGCGGTGACGGGATCCTTGAGCTCGACGACCTCGACGGGGAACTCCTTCTCGCGCACGCGGAAGATCTCGAGGTTGCAGAACATCGACTTCTTGGTCTTGGTGTGGCGGTCGACCTTGACGCAGAGGTAGTCGCCCTGCGGGTGCCAGTGCAGCTTGCAGTCCGAGACGTTGAAGAGGTTCTTGGATCGCAGGATCGTTCTCGAGGGCACGGCCATGACGGTGACACGCGCCGGCTGGTTGGCCACCTCGGGCTGCCAGAAGACGATCATGTTGTCGCGGGCCTTCTTGTTGGGCTTGCCCGCCTCGGCGGCCTCGCGGTCCCTGTCGCCCATGGGGCACCATTCAAAGTCGACGACGCCCTCGACCTTGATCGACTTCTTGTCGAGCAGGCCCATGGACGGTGTCTCGTATACGCTGATGGCCTGGCCGGGGTTGAGACGCGCGCAGTACTTGTCGTCTGGGCTCCACTTGAGGAAGGGCCAGGAGAAGCCCTTGAGCTGGCCGGGCTGGCCGTTCTCGTCCTGGGGCACGGGGAAGGTGCGCAGGAGGTGGCCGGTGCGGACCTCCCAGACGGCGATGCGGTTGCCCTCGTCCTCGGAACCGAAGAACTGGGGGCCGATGGGAGCGTTGTCGGGGACCTGGATGGGCTCATGGGACCAGGTGACCATGAACTTTTCGCTCGGGGAAAAGTCGACGAGGCGTGCGCCCGGGTGCGGGAAGCGCATGAAGCGCTCGCACGAGGGGCCGCCCCAGATCTGGATGCCCTGGCGGTGGAAGGTGGTGAGGAAGGTGCCGAGCGGCGACCACTGGACGTAGCTCTCTGTCCAGCGCGGGCGGCTGTGCTCGACCTGGGGGTCGGAGGAGCGGTTGTGCCAGGCGATCTCGACGTCGTCGCCGCGGCAGATGACGAGCTGGTCGCGGCCGGCCGGGTCGGCGAGCCAGGAGCGGAGGTGCTCACGGGGCTTGAACTCCTCTTCGGCGGGCTCTACGTAGGTCTCGGAGAGGCTGGCGAACTTTTCGACGTCGGTGAAGCGGTGGACGGAGAAGCGGTGCTTCTTGTCGAAGGCGTAGCCGTCCATCTGGCGGATGGCCTGTGCGGCGTCCTCTGCGGAGGCCATCTCGACAAAGAGGTAGCCCTTGGACTCGCCGTTGTCTGCGTAGGGGATGTGCATGCCGTCGACGGCGATGTCGATGCCTGCCTGGGTCTTGAAGCGCTTCTGGATGGTCTCGAAGAGCTTCTGCTGGCGCGACTCGGTGATGACGGGGACGCCCTCGATGACGATGACATCGTCGAGGCCCTCGTCGAACTTGACCGAGTATTTCTGTTCAATGTCGGAGAAGTCGATGTCGGCGTCGTCGATGATGTCGAGCTCATCGACGCCGTTTGTGATGTCCTGGACGCTAGGCATGCTGCAAGTGTGCTGGGGTTGGAGAAAGAGACGGGGCTAGGGCGGACGTTGCAGCGGGTGATTCTGCGGTTCTATCAGAGACACCCTCGTTTGCAGTCGGACAAGAGGTGGCTGTGTAGACCGGAGTGCAGCGTGTCGGCGTTGGCGGAATGTGCGGGCCAGCCGATGATGACAGGTGAAGAAATGGTCTATACGACCTTTTTGTGAGAAGCAACAGCTGAAGGCGAAAGACGTGGTGGTGAGAAGGAGCTGGAATGACGACTTGCAGGCGCAGTGTCTGCACCGACACCGACACCAGTGCTGGCCGCCCTCTTCTGCCTCTGCGGCAAGTGCTTCGAGTCTCTCGCGCTGCGCTTTGCCTGGCTCCGGCTGGCCCTTTGAGCTCGACCTGATTTTTTCTTCTCCTTCTGTGCAATCCTTCCAGCTCGGCATGGGCGGAGAGACGCGACTGTGCTCTGTGCAAATGATTGATCTCAGATTTCTTCACCAAACTCGAAAAAAGCGAGGGCAACGCGTTGAACCACCACTCGTGCGACAGATCCCAAGCCTGCCAGGGTCTGAAGCTCGAGAGCCAGGTCCAGGGTCGCGAGGCTGCAGCTCCTTCCAAAAATTTTGGAAATTTCACCGTGAGCCAAGGAGGAAGAGGAGGGCGAATTTTGTGGCGGAGCGGATGCTGCATGAGGAGGAGGAGGAGGTTCGAGGTTGACGGCAGCTGCGCGCTTTGCGAGAGTGAATCTCGGTGCCACCGGCTCAGCGTGTCATCCTTCCTCCACCATCCAGCCCGGCCTCTCTCTCTCCGCACGTCGCTGCTGCCTCCGCTTCCTCGCAATGGGTAAGAAGCAGCAGAAGAAGACGGCCAAGGGCCGTCTCGACAAGTTCTACTGGCTCGCAAAGGAACAGGGCTATCGCTCGCGTGCGGCTTTCAAGCTCGTCCAGCTCAACAAAAAGTACAACTTCCTCGAAAAGGCTCGATGCTGCATCGATCTCTGTGCCGCCCCAGGAGGTTGGCTCCAGGTCGCTTCCAAATACATGCCCGCCAACTCGCTCATCGTAGGTGTCGATCTCGTGCCCATCAAGCCCATCCCGAGGACCATCACCTTTGCAGAGGACATCAACTCGTACAAGTGCAGAGACCAGCTCCGCCAGATCCTCAAGGACTGGAAGGCCGACATCGTCATCCACGACGGTGCCCCCAACGTCGGTACCGCTTGGGTCCAGGATGCCTACGCCCAGTCCGAACTCACCCTGCAGTCGCTGCGTCTAGCCGTCGAGTTCCTCAACGCAGGCGGAACCTTCGTCACCAAGGTTTTCCGCTCCAAAGACTACAACAATCTGCTCTGGGTCTTCAATCAGCTCTTCAAAAAGGTCGAAGCCACAAAGCCCTCCTCCTCACGTAACGTCTCGGCAGAGATCTTCGTCGTCTGCCAAGGCTACAAGAACCCCGCCCGCATCGACCCCAAGTTCCTCGACCCACGCCACGTCTTCAAGGAGCTCGACCCCGCCACCCTCGCACAGGAGGACCAGGAAGCCGGCGTGCCCCTCAGCCTCAAGGGCACTTCGGCCGGTAACGCGCACGCCAACGTGTTCGCACCCAAGAAGATCCGCAAGAACCGTGAGGGTTACGCTGACGGAGACTATACCCTTTTTCACTCCCTCGACGCCATGGATTTCATCAAAGGCCAGGACGTCATCGGCATGCTCGGCTCCTACAACGAGATCTCGTTCAAGTCCGACGAGAGCAAGACGCTCCTCGACCTCCCCGACACCACCCAAGAGATGCGCGACAACTGCTCGGATCTCAAGGTGCTTGGCAAGAAGGATTTCCGTAATCTCATGAACTGGCGCAAGGAGGTCCGCCTTGCCCTCGGCCTCGACATGCCCAAGTCCAAGCAGAAGGACCTTGCCGAGCAGATCGAGACCGTCGAAGTCGAGGAGATGGACGAGGATGACCAGATCGACGACGAGCTCGCCCGCCTCAACGAGGAGGCCGCCCGCAAAGCTCGCAAGGAGAGGCGTCGCAAGAACGAGCTGCGTCAGAAAAAGATTCTCAAGATGCAGCTCCAGATGACCACACCCATGGACATCGGCATGGACGTCATGGACGACCAGCTCGGCTCCGGTAATGGCGACATCTTTGAAATCGGCTCGGGCGAGAAGGTCTCGAAGAAGGCTCTCATGCAACAGGCCGATCTCAGCGACGACGAGAGCGACACGATCGTCAGCTCGCATGATACCGACGACGACGACCCACAGGCGCGTGCGGCACGTCTCGACGCCGAGATGGACGCCCTCTACGACGAGTTCAAGCAGAAGCAGTCCGACCGCGACGCCAAGTTCCGCGCCAAGCAGGCTCGTCTCAAAGACGCAAAGAACGACTCGTGGCACGGTATCAAGGACGACGAGGAGGAGGAAGACGATGACGACGCCGAATTGTCCGAAGACAGCGAGGGCGGCTACGACCTTGTCCAACGGCGAAAGGAGCAGGAAGAGACATTCGACACCGATGACGAAGAGGACGAGGAGGACGAGCGTCTCGAGCGTCAAGCTGTCGAACAATCTAGAAAACGTAAGCGCGACACCGACGCTGCAGCGCTCGCTCAAGCAGATGCTCCCGCGAAGCCGTCCAAGCGCTCCCTCGTCAACAGCCTCACCAGCGACGCAGATGTCACAGCGCAACAGAGCCGAGAGGCGTCCATCTGGTTCGACAACCCTCTCTTCAAGGATCTCGGCCTGGATGCAGTGCCTGCAGATGAAGAGCCGCTCGAAGATGACGAAGACGCGTGGGAGGAGACGGACGCGGAAGAGGAGGACGAGGAGCTCAGCGACGACGAGGATGCCTCGGACTCTGGCAGCGGTCTCGAGGATGAGGACGAGGAGGACTTTGAAGTCGTGCCTCAAGATCACGAGGAGCACGCCATCCCCGACGAGGAGTGGGACCTGGATGGCGAAGATGAGGAAGCCGGAAAGCAGAAGCGCATCAAGGACCACGGTCTCGCCACAGCCGAAGCTGTTGCACTCGCACAAGCGCTCGTCAACCGCAAGATCACCAAGGAGGACCTCGTCGACCAGGGATTCTCCAAACACAACTTTGTCGACAAGGACGGCTTGCCAACCTGGTTCCTCGATGACGAGCAGAAGCACTACAAAGCCAACATTCCCATCACCAAGGAGGCCATGCAGGCTCTGCGGGATCGCGAACGAGCTCTGGACGCTCGACCGATCAAGAAGATCGCCGAGGCCAAGGCGCGCAAGAAGATGCGAACGCTACGACGCCTCGAAAAGGCACAGAAGAAGGCCGAGACCATCAACGAAAACGAAGACATCTCGGAAAAGGAAAAGTCGTCGACCATCAACAAGCTGCTGGCCAAGTCGGTCAAGGGCGGGCAGAAGAAGAAGGAGGTGCAGCTCGTCGTCGCCAGGGGCGTCAACCGCGGTCTCAAAGGACGACCCAAGGGCACCAAGGGCCGCTACAAGATGGTGGATCCGCGCATGAAGAAGGAGCTTCGCGCGTTCAAGAGGAAGGCAAAGCGCGACGGCAAGAAGCTCGGGTCGTCCAACTCCAAGCCAAGGGTTGCGAAGGGCTACGGACCTCGCAACTGATCGTCATCAGTCTTCCACGCGAGCACTCGAGTCGCACTTTCGCTCCTGTCCGTTTCGCTCCAATTGGAGCGCCTACCTTCTGTCTTTGCAGGTCTCCGGCGCTTGTTGTCACGCAGCATAATCACATCGCAATCTACAGAGCATTTCATCTCAGTTTTGGCCCATTGAAATTTGCCATCCTCTCTCATGATTCGCTCCGATGCCAGAAAAGCACGAGCAGGTTCGCTCGAGAAGCCGTGTGCATGTTGTCGATTTCTCGCGCCGTGTGCAGAGGGGTCTTCGCTGATGTTTACATGGAGTATGCGTATGCAGGCGAGGTGAGGTGAGACAGCGCCAAGAAGGTCACAAAAGCGGCATGTAACCACCTACTTTGAATCTTTCTCCGAGGGCAGGTCCTCGGAGGGAGCCTCGAACACGACCGTGGGGATGGACGCGGAGGCGGGAGTGGGTCCCGCACCGGCGCTGGTCGTATCGGAAAGAAGCGGAGCTGTGCTTTCGTGCGACGCCGCGGCTGCTGCAGCTGACCCTGAGGACTTGGTAGAATCAGAGCGCTGCAGGTTGGTCGTACGCGAGCCAGAGCCTTTGTTCGCCGAGAGCCGCTGATCGAGTGCCTTCAACGCCATGGCACGTCTGCGTTCGGCTTCGGCGCGGGCGCTGCTGTGTGGAGGAGCCTGTCCGTTGACGGAAGCCGACTCGAGGTCGGCATAGTCTCCGCCGGACCATGGCTGGACCACGCGGAGCTTGACGAACAGGTTGAACAGCGTTGTCGAGATGAACTGGACCGGCTTGTGAGCGAAGGGCGGGAACCAGTTGACAAAGGCAAAGGCCTCGCTGCGATCACCTTTGAGGCCGGACTCGTTCACCTTGAAAAATCGCAGATAGGCCCAGGAGATGAGCCATCCGAACTGGATGAGGATCCATGGCGAGGTGTAGCCGAGGAGGCACATGACGTTACTGACGGTCACGTAGAGCATGGGCAGATCCTTGACTCGAATCTTGACAGCCCCGCTCAGGACCTGAACCTGATGCTCTGGGATGAGCTGGGTGAAGGCCACGAGAAAGGCGGTCTGAAGTGCCTGGAGCCCGTGGAACTGGATCCCCCAGATGAGCACCTCCTTGCGGAAGACGCCGAAGAGGAGAAGCTGCAGGCCCCATGCAATGATGTTGCTTCCAGCGAGGACGACGGCGGCAAACTTGAAGAGCTCAATCGCGCCCCACTGGCGCTCGAGGTACCGCGCTGCGAGCGGAAGGGAGACGACGGAGACGAGAAACTCGAGGATGGACGACTCGCAAAAGCTCGATGTGAGCAACGTCCAGGGATACCAGAAGCTCGCGCCAGGGACGATGACGAGCCAGGGAAACTGGACCGCACTAGCCGTGCCGAATCCCAGACCGGTGCGCAGACGCAGGAAGAAGAGGAGCACCGAGAATGCCAGGAGCGCCGCGGTCAAGGCCCTCGATCCTGGCGGAACATTCTGGAGCAGCGTGGACAGCGAAAAGACCGCCATTGTGCTGCAGCCTATGCGTCTCCACAGAGATTGATTGTCGGACAGGGAAGCCCTTGCCGGGTGAATAGAGGAGATAGGTGGTGGTGGTGGTGGTGGTGTCGAGACCGGATCAGTGCATACTTCGGCCAGGCTCGGTGAGACCAACTCTCGGAGGTGCGAATTGGAATCGAGGCCGAAACGACGAGCGCGTATCGATGCACCGCGCTGTCTCAGATCTAACACATTATGCCATTCGCGCCTCTCCCGTGTTGTCCCCCTCGGAGCTGTCCCTCGGATTTCATTGAGCACAGGCAAATGCATCTCGTCCTTCGCAACACGATTGCGCGACAGGAGGACGACGGCTCATCAGCTCCGCAAGGCGACAGTAATAAGAACGAGAGTGCGGTATCTATCGTCCAATTACAAGCAATCTGGTCTCATTTTGCGTCTGTGAGGCTGGTCTTGGCCAGAGCAGAGGCGAGCTCGTCGGTGTCGTCGACCTGTGCCGAGGCCTTTGCGGAGGTTTCTGCGTCCGCCTCGTCCTCGTCTTCGTCCCCATCCTCTTCATCCTCGCCCTCGCTCTCTTCGCCTTCGGGGTCCCTGTAGCAGCGAAATCAACAAGAGAAGAGAGAAAAGGTCAGCTTATCGACGCGCTAGGTGTGGCGGCCGCCAAGTTGCGGCCACGATGGCTGCGGACTTACATTTCATCCAGCTCGAGCAATGCATCCTCGTGACCGTGCTTGGCGAGGGCGCGCTTGATCTTCTCGATGCATTCGTCCTCCTCGTCCGCCCAGTTGCCGTTAATGTCCAGCTTGGTGAGGCTGGAGAGGTGGAGGTCGATGGCGCTGCCGAGTTGGTCGAGCACCTTTCGGTCGAGGTCGCAGTACTGGACCTGGATCGTCTCGAGCGCGGGGTTGCTGCCGTTGGCCAAAGCACCGAAGACAAGCGCGCCTCCCTTGGGCTTGAGAAGACAATCGGACAGGTTGAGCGTCTTGAGCTTGGGCCACTTGGGGAGGCATGCAGCGATGGCGCGCGAGCCACGGAGCGTGGCAGTGTTGTCTTGGAGGTCAAGCACCTCGAGGTTGGGACACGAAGCAAGACCCTTGCTGATGACCTCGATGCCCTCCATGCGGATGCCGTTCTGGAACATGCGAACCTGGACGAGGCCGCCGTGCGCTGCGTACGCCTTGGCCCACACGGGTGCTGAGCCGTTTTCGAGACGGTTGCGGCCGCAGATGACGGTGCGCAGCTTGGATTCGAGGCCCTTGGCCTTGAGGTTCTGCGCGGCTTCGTAGAGGGCTTCAGCGACGATGGTGCCTCCGGTGATGCCGAGACCGTTGTTGTTGAGCTTGAGGACGGAGAAGCTGTGGTTGTTCTTGAGGAAGTTGACCATGGGCTCGGCCGATCGACCGCCGAAAGCATTGTCCGAAAGGTTGAGCTCTACAAGGCTGGTGTGGTCGGTGAGAGCATCGCAAAGGGCACGAAGCGCATCGGGAATCTCGGAGATGAGCCTACCGGTGAAGATATCGGCAAAGTCGGCGACCTGGACGCAAGATGGGTTGAAGCGAAGCGGTGGTGCGAGGTCAGGGACGAATCCAGGGTGCATTCAGGCGGGCCTTCCAAGCTCCGCACAAGACTGCTTTGCCAAGACAGTGAATGAGAGGGACTTACCTTGAGCGTCTTCTTGTCCTTGAGAACATCCGCGAGCGCCTGACAAGCCTCGACACCAAGCGTGTTGCCGCCCAGGTGGACCTCTTGGAGATCTGCGATCTGCTGAAGTGCGTCGAGGTGCGGCTGGATGTCGGCCTTGGTGTCGAGCTTGAGGCCCTTGCCGACGAGGGAGAACACTTTTGAGTCGCCAGACATGATGAGGTGATGTGTGCGTGACGACGAGGGAAGCGGAGGTGCTGGTGGAGGATGTTGAGCAAGAGTTCATTCGGTTGCGAGGTGTGTTTGTCCTTGCAGACGCTGGCCCAGATTCGAAAGTAACACAATCACGAGAGCTGCACACCCGCACACACACACGCTCTCTCTGCAAAAATGACATTGGATCTCCCGATTTCCGCGTTGCTTGGGCGAGCTAGAAGATCGATTGAGATCCGACGAGTCTCGCGCGACAGGCCGAGCCATTTTGGCTGCGGCAACCGCCTCAGCTGGTGGGACACTCTCTCGGCCACATCCTCGCCCTCACGGCTCTGACCGACACCCATAAACCCCGTATCGCATCGATCTCCTTTCGGCATTGCTTCGAAGCATCGGGCGGTCGCGAAGAGGAAGATGTCCGTCAAAAGGCGCAGTCGAGGCTTGCGACGCCTCCACGCACTGGGTTAGCTACAGCAGGCTCGAGGTTTGCGCAACTGAGCCACCATATCATTGTGCCCGTCCTCAGCTCGGCTGAGTCCAACTGCGCAGTCGAGTGCTCGCCGGACGGAGGCTCGACCTCCGCAAAAAATCGAGTGGCGAGCCGCAAAGGGAATTTGGTTGGCGTGTGCGCGCGCGGTCCAGTGCTTCTGCAGAGCAGGGCAATACAAATTCCACATTGAAATGGGAGATCTGCTCAGGCCAACGTCGAGAAGAACGAGTTCCCGTTTGTAGATCTTGTATTCCCCATTAGGAATGGCGGACTAGCGACGGGTCGAGCGCGCCAGTGGCCGTGCAGGCATGCAGCTCCGAGACTGCTCTGATGCAGCTTGGAATTTGGATAGCGAGAGCCCAAGCCCATTTTCGAAAAAATTTTCCCCCACTGGCTGCGCGGCCAACGTCTGCACTAGATGATTGGAGCTCAGGTGCCAGCCAGCCAAAGCGAAAAAAAGAGGGAAAAAGTTCTCTTCGGCGCAGCCTTTTGGGGGCGAAGGAAGCTTTGGGCCGCTGGTCCGCTGCGCTGCCGCACTCTGCGCAGAGAGAGAGAGTGGCCCGCCCCTGCTTTGTGCACTCGTCCCGCTGTGGTCTTTGTCTGGCGAGCGTCCGCCGCTCTACACCCTCTTCCACCACCATCTTTTTCCCCCCCTATCCATCTCCCTCGTTCCCAAGCGCACCGACGCTAGTGTTCAGTCAAGATGGTTAAGTGAGTATCCGCAGAAAACGCATGCCGCATCCACGGCTTTCACCGCGAATCGCGGCTCGATACATTCAGCAGCGCCGCTGTGCTCCTGGCTCGAATGCTTTGGCAACCAACTCGTACTGATACCATGACTCTCCATTCTTCGCATTCTCATTTCTCAGCTTCACCGTCGACGAGATCCGTGGCCTCATGGACAGGCCCACCAACATCCGAAACATGTCGGTCATTGCCCACGTCGACCACGGCAAGTCGACCCTCACCGACTCGCTCGTCTCCAAGGCTGGTATCATCGCCGGTGCCAAGGCCGGTGACACCCGTTTCATGGACACCCGTGATGACGAGAAGGAGCGTGGTATCACCATCAAGTCGACCGCCATCTCCATGTACTTCCCCATGGACAAGGACTCCCTCGAGGCCATCGCCCAGAAGAAGGACGGCAACGAGTTCTTGATCAACCTCATCGACTCGCCCGGTCACGTTGACTTCTCCTCCGAGGTCACCGCCGCCCTCCGTGTCACCGACGGTGCCCTCGTCGTCGTCGACTGCATCGAGGGTGTCTGCGTCCAGACCGAGACCGTGCTCCGCCAGGCCCTCACCGAGCGCATCAAGCCCGTCGTCTGCCTCAACAAGGTCGACCGTGCGCTCCTCGAGCTCCAGGTCGGCAAGGAGGACCTCTACCAGTCCTTCATGCGCACCATCGAGTCCGTCAACGTCGTCATCGCCACCTACAACGACCCCGTCCTCGGCGAGAGCCAGGTCTACCCCGAGAAGGGCACCGTCGCCTTCGCCTCGGGTCTCCACGGCTGGGCCTTCACCCTCCGCCAGTTCGCCAACCGCTACGCCAAGAAGTTCGGTGTCGACAAGGACAAGATGATGGTCAAGCTCTGGGGCGACAACTTCTTCAACCCCAAGACCAAGAAGTGGACCACCAAGGACACCGACGCCGACGGCAAGCCCCTCGAGCGTGCCTTCAACATGTTCGTCCTCGACCCCATCTTCCGCGTCTTTGACGCCATCATGAACTTCAAGAAGGACGAGATCCCCAAGATCCTCGAGAAGCTCGACGTCAAGCTCACCCAGGACGAGCAGGACCTCGAGGGCAAGCAGCTCCTCAAGGTCGCCATGCGCAAGTTCCTCCCCGCCGGTGACGCCCTCCTCGAGATGATTGTCATCCACCTCCCCTCGCCCGTCACCGCCCAGCGCTACCGTGTCGAGACCCTCTACGAGGGCCCCCTCGACGACGAGTCCGCCATCGGCATCCGCGACTGCGACCCCAAGGGCCCCCTCATGCTCTACGTCTCCAAGATGGTCCCCACCTCGGACAAGGGTCGCTTCTACGCCTTCGGCCGTATCTTCTCCGGTACCGTCAAGTCCGGCCCCAAGATCCGCATCCAGGGCCCCAACTACACCCCCGGCAAGAAGGACGACCTCTTTGTCAAGTCGATCCAGCGCACCGTCCTCATGATGGGCCGCTACGTCGAGCCCATCGAGGACTGCCCCGCCGGTAACATCCTCGGCCTCGTCGGTGTCGACCAGTTCCTGCTCAAGTCCGGTACCCTCACCAGCTCCGAGACCGCCCACAATCTCAAGGTCATGAAGTTCTCCGTCTCGCCCGTCGTGCAGGTTGCCGTCGAGGTCAAGAACGCCAACGACCTTCCCAAGCTCGTCGAGGGTCTCAAGCGTCTCTCCAAGTCCGACCCCTGTGTGCAGGCCTGGATCGCCGAGACCGGTGAGCACATTGTCGCCGGTGCCGGTGAGCTCCACCTCGAGATCGTCCTCAAGGACCTCGAGGAGGACCACGCACAGATCCCCCTCAAGATCTCGGACCCCGTCGTCGGCTACCGTGAGACCGTCCAGGCCGAGTCCTCCATGGTCGCCCTCTCCAAGTCGCAGAACAAGCACAACCGTCTCTACGTCAAGGCCCAGCCCATCGACGAGGAGCTCTCGCGCCTCATCGAGGACGGCAAGATGACCCCCCGCGACGACTTCAAGGCCCGTGCCCGTGTCCTCGCCGACGACTACGGCTGGGACGTCACCGACGCCCGTAAGATCTGGTGCTTCGGCCCCGAGACCACCGGCCCCAACCTCCTCGTCGACGTCACCAAGGGTGTCCAGTACCTCAACGAGATCAAGGACTCGTGCGTCGCCGCCTTCCAGTGGGCCACCAAGGAGGGCGTCACCGCCGAGGAGCCCATGCGCGGCACCCGCTTCAACATCCTCGACGTCACCCTCCACACCGACGCCATCCACCGCGGTGGTGGACAGCTCATCCCCACCTGCCGTCGCGTCTGCTACGCCGCCGCCCTCCTCGCCCAGCCCGGTATCCAGGAGCCCGTCTACCTCGTCGAGATCCAGTGCCCCGACTCCGGCCTCGGCGGTATCTACTCGTGCCTCAACAGGCGCCGTGGTCACGTCTTCTCCGAGGAGCCCCGTGTCGGTACCCCCATGGTCACCGTCAAGGCCTACCTCCCCGTCAACGAGTCGTTCGGTTTCAACGCCGATCTCCGTCAGGCCACCTCGGGTCAGGCTTTCCCCCAGTCCGTCTTTGACCACTGGCAGCTCCTCCCCGGAACGCCCCTCGACGCCGGCAAGACCCAGGATATCGTGCTCGGTATCCGCAAGCGCAAGGGTCTGCGCGAGTCGCTGCCGACGCTTGATACCTACTACGGAATGTACCCGACGCTTTTCCTCATCGTTCTCACGAACAAACATACTGACATTCGTCTCGATCTTGTCTCTTTTTCCTCTTTTCTGCATCTTTTCGTTTTGCGTCAACAGACAAGCTCGTAAGTTTCGCAATCTGCTTGTGCTCGTGGATGCAGAAGATCGAAAGATCGAGTATGCTGACCATTTACCACCCTTTCCGATACCTTCTTCACAGTAAATGTGCTTGGTCCGCACGGCCGCAAGAACAGGCCCTCGCCGGGTTTTCTGCAACGGTCGAAAACGGCAGTCTGCTCCCGCGGCTGCCGAATCCTCGCAGTATTGGAGGTATTCAATCTTGTGAAACACCGTTTTCCCCTCCCGACGATGCCGACGCTTGGCCCGGCTGTGACTGTGACTGTGACTGTGACTGTGATTGGGACTGTGACTGGGACTGGGACTGGGACTGGGACTGG